CTAAGGTGGCCCTTAGGCTAGCGCGGGAGGGGAGGGGTAAGGAGGGTATGGGGGGTGTGTATGTGTGTGTGTGTCGTTGTCTTCGTTTCTTGATCCTGGCTGTCTCTGAAACAGAAAAGGTTAGCGGGGGGGGGGGGGGATGTCGTTGGGGTGGCCACCCTGGGTCAAAAAGTTGGTAACCAGTCCAGATATTAATATTAATGCCATTAGAAGCATTGAAATAAAATACCCATACCACAAAAACATAAACTATAAATCAAAGTAGGCTTATAAGGCCTAATACAGTTTTACGTTACAAATTAAAATAATCTGAATGTCACAAATTTGTTTGTTCAGTTAGAAAAGCTATCCGTCTTAAAACATATCGAGCAAGTAGATCTGAGGTGAACCGAATACGCTTAGGGTTTGATTCGTATTTGAATCGAAAACTCTTATGTTGTGTTGTACTAATTTCATAATTTCAGTAGTTCAGTAATTTGTGCATAATTTCAATTTTGAGGTTAGGTTTTTTAGCGTTGTTGTTGATGGTAGAAGGTTGTAGTTATTTCCTTAATCCTATATACAAACAATTAAAGAATTTTTATACTGTAGTAGTTAAATATGCTTAAGTTTCCTTTATAGTTATATATCTAACTTTATGTGTAAGAATGGAAGATACAAAAATAGTAGTATGCAGATTATGTTTAAATTTTACAACTTTCGATGAATGCCAGATATTAGACACCGTTTCGAAAGACATGCTTACTTTTATAATGCCAGAAACAGTAAGTATATGTTAAATATTTTTCACTTATTATTAACACATCCACTTTTAGGATCTAGATATAAGTCATGATCCAAAGATATGCCAGACTTGTTACAAAACCATGCTGAGGTGTTACAGATTTAAATCTAATTATAACAAAGACATCAAGACTGAGACTAAAAAAAAATTAGACACAGAGGGATCAGAAATGATCAGTATTCAAGTTGAAGAAGTAGAAAGTAAATGTAACTTCTGTTCAAGTAGCATTGACGATGAAAGCCGGGAAGAATTCAGTAATCGTAAAACTTATTTTACTGAAGTTTTACAAAAATATCTACCTGAACGGGTAATATTTTCTAAATAGTTTTAAATACGGGTTAATCTACTACAAATATGTTGCACAAATTTATTTTTATTATGCATTTCAATATATTTAAAGTAGAATAAACATATGACTAATATGTTTACTTTAAACATATTGAAATTAAATGCTTTTAAAGTAAAGTAGAAATTGTATTGAATTAAAACATAAACAATTGAACATTTGGAGGTTAAATTAGTAGATGCTTTCAATTTATGTGATCTAATAACTCTGATAAAAGTAGGTGAAGAAAACATTTAACAATCTTTCTGCTAAGATATCAGTAATCATTCTTTTTAATCAAATCATCAATAACTATTTAATACGGTTTTAGAATCTCAGCAGTAAAGCACTATTTTGTAAAAAATGCTTAGACGACCTCACAAGTCAATTTACATTCATCACCAAATGTACAGATACCGAGAACAAGCTCAAAGATTATCGTTTGACTCACGGTACTAACAGTGAAGGAAAATTAAATTTATATGAAGCTCTTCAACAAATTTTGTGCAAAGAAGATACAGATCTGATTACAGCAATTAAAACTGATGGAGATATGTCTTGTGAAGATTTATTTGAAGGGGCAAACAATGAGGTACCGTTTCCAGAGGTGGATGTTAAGACCGAAACTCTTAAGATGGAAGAGGTTGATATCAAATCCGAACCATATGATGAGTAAGTAAAGAACTTAAATCACATAGAAACATCTACAGGGTAATAGAGGGAGAAACATATACAGGGTGATTTTTTATATAAATCTGATTCCATTGCCATACAAAATTTGATTGATTTACGAAATAATGCTTTGTAGAGAGACTTTAATTGAATAATTTAATTTAAAAAAATAGTAATTTCAGTCATTTTAAATTTGTCCCATTCTATAAACTAAATATCCAATTTGAATGCCTGACTATCCTTATTTGAAGAGTTCTAAATTAGATGAATTAGTTGAGAAGTTACCATGAAAATATAATTTTAAATGTGTTGTAATGATTGAGAATAAAAAAATATAAATGTTAAAAAATATTAGAGAAATATTAAATATTAAATTTTCCGAGATAGCAAAGGGCAAATTTGGACCCCGCACAAACCTTATGGAAAATGGCTTTCGGTCAAAATGGCTGATATTGAAATATGATATAGCTCTCACCTTCCTGAGCGAAAGTTGTCATGGGCCCAAAGCGGTCCTATGTGTAGGTTTAAAGATATAGAGCTTTGAAGCTTATGATTTCATAGCACGGTGCTGAATATAAGTGCAGGATAGGTGTATTGTATGTATATGTCCCTTTCTCCGTATATACAGGGTGAGTTAGTTTTTTGTAGACAAACTTTAACAGGAGATAGATACATATTTTTAACAAGAAAAGTTCCTATAAACATATGTCGTAGAAGGCTTTGTTTCCGAGATACGGGGTGTTGAATATAATTTTTTTTTTTTCGAATATTCATATAACTTATAAATGAATGCTAACGTTTTTTTCATGTTTGGGAGATAATGCCTATTAATTAAGGGCCATAAAACAAGCGATAAAAATGTTCACAGTGGCAGAGTGGAGGGGGTGCTCAACCCCTTTCTTAAACAGAACTTCTACACCAATGACTATTTTTTAAAAAACTGTTATTTTCATTATCTACATATAGTTTAACAAAAATAATGTCCATTCTTCTGCCTCGAAATTCCTGTGCGTTTCCGAGTTATTATGATTTTTATTGTTTGTTGTGGTACTAAATTAATTTATTTATTATCAATTATCGGCTATATATTTAATTCTTTCAATGAAATCTACCTAAATATAGTTTGTTAAGGATTTTAAAAAGCCGAAATCTCTTATTCTTTATCTCTTTCCAATGTAGTCAAAATAAATATTTGCTATATCCAGCTATACTCACTTTTATAAGTTGAAATCTGTTACATTACATACATACAATACATTATTGTGCAGTTGCCAAAAAGTTTTAAGAAGTTGTAAATTAAATATTGTTATAAATTCAAAAAATTTCTCCATAAACATTAACATCAATGTTTTTTTTTTTTGTAATTTAGTTGTTTAGTTTATTAGTATTTACGCAACATAATAAATAAGGATTGTTAAAATTAGTGTTCTAAACAGATTTCAACTTATGAAAGTCTTGTATTTGAGTATGGCTTGATATAACAAACCTTTATTTTGACTACATTGGAAAGAGATAAAGAATAAGAGATTTCGGCTTTTTAGAATCCTTAACAAACCATATTTTGGTAGGTCTCGTTGAAAGAATTAAATATATAGCCGATAATTGATAATAAATAAATTAATTTAGTACCACATCAAACACTAAAAGTCAAAATAACTCGGAAACGCACAGGACTTTCGAAACAGAAGAAGGGACATTATTTTTGTTAAACTGTATGTAGATAATGAAAATAACAGTTTTTTAAAAAAAATAGTCATTGGCGTAGAAGTTCTGTTTAAGAAAGGGGTTGAGCACCCCCTCCACTCTGCCACTGTGCAAGTTTTTTTAACATTTTTATCGCTTGTTTTATGCCCCTTAATTAATAGGCATTACATCCCAAACGTGAAAAAATCTAAGCATTCATTTATAAGTTATAATAAATATTTGAGAAAAAAAAAATTATATTCAACACCCCGTATTTCGGAAATGAAGCCTTCTACGACATATGTTTATAGGAACTTTTCTTGTTAAAAATATGTGTTCTATCTCCTGTTAAAATTTGTTTACAAAAAACTGACTTCACCCTGTATATACGGAGAAAGGGAGATATACATACACCTATCCTGCACTTATATTTAGCACCGTGCTATGAAATCGTTAGCTTCAAAGCTCTATGTCTTTAAACCTACACATAGGATTGCTTTGGGCCCATGACAACTTTTGCTCAGGAAGGTGAGAGCTATATCATATTTCAATTTCAGCCATTTTGACTGAAAGCCATTTTCCATAAGGTTTGTGCGGGATCCTTTGCTTTTGCACTTTTAGTCATTTTCAAAACAAAGGATTTTAGGATTATTTATGATTTATTGAATTGTGGCAAGTTTATTTTAGGCTAAAAATATTAATTCAGAAATGATTTGTTTATCGAATAGAATGGACGAGGCGTCTTTTCTTTAAAATACAATTGTGAATCAAATTAACTTATACAGGGTGTCCCAAAATAACGTGTGCAACGAAAGACCATAGATTCGTGGACTCAAAAAAGGCAAATTTAGGCCAATTCATCTATATCCAAAATCGATGGCCTCAAAATTTGTGAATTTTTTTTTTAATTTTGTAAATAACTCAAATACGTATTAATCGATTTTGATTATTTTTGGGGTGTGGACATTTGCTTTCAATCTACACATTTTAGTGTTATACAGAGTGTTTTTTAAAATTTACAACTACAAAATTGATGCATAGTGATTAGCATTTTTTTTTAATTTTGAATGTATTTTCCAATAATATCATTTATGTCAATGATTTTATCAGCCTATATTGTTTTAAGACATTTTAGTAGAGAGGTATTATTCGATTAATTGTTTTTATAAATCTATATTAACTGTTACTGAAGCATTTTACTGAAAATATGTAAGGATACGTAAAATGAAAGCTAATTCTAAAAAACAGATTATTTTCAATATTAGTCAATTGCGCAACATTTTTTTTAAACGTTCACCATAGTGTAGATTGCACATCACTGACTAGTATTCTGCTGGTTCTTCACAAGAGAGTGACATATACTACATCAAATTTGAAAGCAATCTATTAAACCGTTCTGGAAATATTAAGAAAATACAATTTTTTTTTATGAATTTCGACACCTTTGTAAAGAGTCATTTCGGAGCAAAGGTTTATTTGACCAATAATTTTTCGGTGAGAAGACTTGGTTAAATTCTTTACACCTAATAATGACTCACCCTGTATTAAAAACAAAATTTTTTGGCCGATAGAGTAAAAGTATACACACTACATTTTTCTCTGCATGCTTTGTATTTTCCGTAAAAAATATGTCGAAAATTAAAAATGCGGTCTTTTTTTAGAGAAAGCATCATTACATCTGAGTCTGAGGGATCAATTACTGGATCAGAAAGACACCTCGAGAAATCACAGGTAAACATTTTTTTAGATTCTACATTTTCATTTTTCCTTTTACTTAAAAGCATATAGATATTACAAAAATGTTGCCTATACTACTTGAAGGTGCTGGTTTTTCATGTATCATACACATTCAATACAAGTACATCCCATTTTTAGACAGTGCACATTTTTTTTACAAGCAAAGTTTATATTGTACCTTACAATATCCTTGCAACTAACACGATAATACCCCAACTGATTTCAAAACTTGTTTATACCCTTCCTTTGTACAGATTTTTAATAAACCTGACTAGTGCATTAATTTAATGTGTAGGGATTCCCACAATGTTAAAAAAACTATTGGTATGGATAGATTGACTTAAAAATAGTTGATTTATTTTCTATTAACATTTGATTTGCATATTCCAGGAATAATATTTTAAAATCCTAAGATTTGCTAGAAATAATGTGCCATATTTTGTCATTTTGTGTTTTTAATCTTTGTCGGCCTGTGCTAAAGAGTGCTATAAATTCAGGGATTGGTAGAATATGGAGGACGTCGAAGGGGATTTGATTAAAATCAAATTTTGGCAATTACTTTGTCAAAAAACAATATATTGCACTGAAATTTGGTGCAAGTTATTGAGAATACAAATTCTGTACAGATGAATTATAGTGGAGACCAAACCGGTGCAGCATATTCAAGCTTAGATCGAACTGAAGAATAATATAGAGTTTTTAAGCCGTTTATTTGAACAAAATCTTTACTGTTTCCGACAATGAATCCATATGACGACTTATACTCTTCAGATATTATTTTTTCAATATGTGAATTGGAAGATAACTTGTCATCAAAAATAACACTGTGATCGCGAAAAGTATTAGGTCGAGTTAAAGTAATACCACTAAAATTGTAGTATTCTTCAATGATTTTAAAGTGTAAGATATTATTTTACAGTTGTCAATTTGCATTAAATTATTTTGAAGACGTATAGAATCATCGATGCCAATTGGTATCTAAACAATTGGCCATATCGTTGATAAAAATGTTAAATAGCAAGGGCCCAAGAACGGATCCGTGTGGGACTTCAATTGTGGTTAGGTTAGGTTAGGTTAATCCGCAGACTTACACCATTTGAGTAGAACATACTGAAGTCTATTTGACAGATAAGATCCAAATAATTTTGATGGAGAATTCGAGAGACCAAACTTATTAAACTTTTGACAGTAATATTTTCTGGTCAAGTCTGTGGAATTCCTTCGGAAAGTCTGTGTAAATGCAATTGTTTACCAATGTATTCAGCTACAAACTGTGTGACTCTTATTAGATTAGAAATTATGTGACTCTGAATGATTTTGCTGAAATTACATAACATAGAAATTGGGTGAAAATTAGATATATCTTGTTTATTCTCTATTTTTATAAATGGGGCAAAAGTTTTTAAATATTTCCAGGTATCAGGGAAAGTAGTTAATTTAAAAAGTAAGTGGATGTGCTAATACACTATCACAGTTTATTTGAATTACTCTCCCCAACTTTTGTCATAGAACTTATTTATGACAATTAGTAAGTGAACACCCTGTATGTGACGTTTGTTTATTAAAAATTACATACAAAATTAAAGCAATTGCATCTCTATTGAATGAGTGTAAAATAATCATTTTTAACATGTTTTTTCATCGTCATATTTGTCGTCTGTGTTATCGTTATCGTCATCATCGTCATCATCATGATAATTAAGTTTCTTACTTTTTTTCTCACAGTTTTTACCGACTCATAACTCCGGGCAGACCAGAGTCAAGTCAAAAGTATTCTTGGCTTAGTTGGTTACTTTTACTATTGTTCTCTATTGTCATTTTGGATATTTGTGTAACCATGGGGGCATTTGTACCCCACACGGTACGACGGGGTTAATTTTGTTTCAATATTTAATTTATTGGTAAGTTAAATAAAGTATCTAGTTTAGTCAAGTTTGCCGAGAAAAACAACGGGCTGCTATTGCTATGAAGACCATTTCAATGTAAGTATATTTTGTTAATCATTTAATTGATTTTTTAATTATGTATTTTTTTATTATTGGTCTATTAATCAACGAAGAAGCAGTACATACAAGAGTGGAATTAACTGCAGCAGCATTCAGAAACAGTAAAATAATAAGAAATTGCACCAACATTCATGTTTCTGAAGTTGCTGATTACGATCTCGGAGAAAAAGGTATTTTGACAACTGTCAACTCTTGAAAAAAGTGTTTTTGAGGACGCTGATTACGATGCTAATGTCAAAAAGGGATTTTGGTACTTGACAGCTGTCAAAATTATTGTCAACATGGGGAAAATGTTATAAATAATATGTGATTCGTATTTTATGTTTTCAAGGTCTGTGATGATGATTGATTACAATGTCAAAGATGTATTTTTACAACTGTCAGCTTTCAAAATAACTCGATATACGGAAAATGCCATATAAGTATCAGGATATTGTTTTATATCTCTCTAATAAGACTTCCAGAATGTCAATAATAATAAAAACCAAATATTTCTGAAAATTATTTGGTCAAATCTGAATCCTAATTATTCCCAGAATCCGACATATGGTCTTAATTGTTCACCAGATATTGCTAGTGTAATTCAGTGCTGTACAGGGCTTTAGTCCACAGAGTAGTTGTTACTTACGATAATGTTCGTTAAAAAGTAAAGAAACTACTTATGGACTTTAAACTCGCCTGACGATCACATGCCTTTTTACAGGCATAATGAAATGATTTATATTATTTCTAGATTTATGCTTGGATTTGTTATTATTCAGAAGCAAAGTGATAAAAAAATGTGAGTGTAAATTTAAGAAGATATAAGCTGCTAAATCTAGAATCTAGAAGGTAAGTGAAAATATAAACGATAATTTTACACTAATGGGCATTTTTGGGAATATATGTTACTTTTGTATTTACGATTTCACAATTTTAGTCGAGATTCTATATCTCAACTAGACCACAACTATTTGATTACGGGGATCCGTGAGTAAGTCATATATTCCAGGTTCATACTTTGTTGTATAAAGTGGAAGGAATACTTTTTTTCCTACAGATGGCATAAATTAAAGGCATTTATTGAATTTCCAAAATTCTCAGTGGTGTCAAAATTGTGGGATTCTTAATAACAATGCAGCATCTCCACTTATATGTCACAATATTGCATGGCTGGTACCTTTAAATAAAAATCCCTAAATCTTAGCGTCACCAATACTAATGATTCGTTTACAATGAACGATGACAAACGGTTACATTTACACTCGAGATAATGCAGTCGCTGATTGGTTGAATAAAATTTCATGGAAAATTACACGAATAACCAGCGGTTGGAAGAAATTGTTATGTTTTAATGTAACCTTAATCTTATTTTTTCAGTAGTTTTTAAATTTTAACAAAATTTAATTAGCGTGATGGAAATAAAATTACTGTTCCAAGAAAAATTACTAGTTACGTGGCTTGTAATCATTTATGAAAACTGTATGTGAACAAATTCAATGAATTTTTGTCTTTAATTGTATTAGGTTAATTATAACCTCAAATTTCATGCTAACCTGTATCGAACACCTTGGTGTACGTTTGTTAATTTTTTTTATGTTTCAGTTATAACACGGATTTAAAAACACCCTGTATATTGTTTTATCATTTCTTTATACAAGGTGTCAAAAATTAAGGAGCGTTTTCCTCATACAGATTTGATATTTTCTTTCATTAAAATGTTCTCTTTAGTTCTTTGTTTTTGACATACAGGGTATGAAATTAAAAAAAAATTAATCTCTAAATATTTTCTAAACAAAGACAGAGATGTGAAATAAAATTTTCTGAGCACAGTACGGGAATAAAATGATACTCGATGCAGTGGCGGCTTCCTGAAAATTAAAGTACTCATATTTTGATTACGAAACATGAAACTTATACTGTGTTTTTTTTGAGTTCTGTGCACATATAAAGAACTTTTATGACAGAAAAATTTCAAATAAAATTTGCGGAATCAAAAATTTTAATTGTCTCCTTTAAGATCTCGAAAAAGATTCACATATACATGCGAAATATATATATATTTTTATATATATAATCAACAGACAGGTATTTTTTTATTCAAACACTATTATTTTTAAAATATCGACCAATATGGCCCTGTACAGTGAAAACGGTGAGACGTAGACCCTTGCTTTATAAGGTAATTCTGAATTATTTATTGACTTCTATCTGTGATTAAAGTTTGATTCACCCAAACTGAAACACCCTGTATAGGCCTAGAAATCATTTCTGAAAAAGCAGTGGAGCTGCCACTGCTTCAACGTGAAAAATTAAGGTTTAGTTGACATCATGGTATGAGATATACTGATTACATATTCCTTAAAAACTATTACATATCATTGGAAAGAAAATGTTTTTTTGATAATGATCTGTCTAATTTTTTGCATAGTTTTTACCATTTAGGTATAAATTAGCAATTTTTCAGCATTTTGTCCAAACTCAATAATATTTTTGATATAAAAGATGTTAAAAATGCAAAGAAAATAGCAACATTTTTTTTTTGTTCAATGGTGTGTCATACTTTATTAGGAAAATGTAACCAACATACTTCCCATCTTCAATGGCTTGCACAGAGAGTAAATTTTTTTAAATTGATTGCCATTCTATTCGTGTATTATACACACATAATTTCAAAAATGTTACGTATTGCAAGCAAAGGCATTAAGTCAAATGTTTATCCAAGAAAATATTCTTAAATTTGGACAAGGAAAACACTTCTTTATGTACATTTTATATACTTATATGCAAGTCTAAAATTCGTGGTTTTTGTCATTTATTGTTTACTCACGGACCTTAAAGGTTACATTAAAAATAATTGAAACAATAATTTGTCCGTAGCTGATACTTCCAAAGTGATACAGAAGGTGGAGGTTACATCTAACAATCAGTAGATTGATAAATCTGTGTAGTGCAAGGTAATAATCTTAAAATAATTTTATTGGTGTTTGTTTTAAATACAACTTTCAA